GCTCGCCTCCGTGCATCGTGATCGTCTCACTGCCTGTTCGTTCTCTATCTTTCTCTCTCTTTCTCCTTCCCCACTCTTCGTCTCTCGCGCGGTCTCTTCACTCTGTTTATTCCTTACCACGGACCTCCCCGACTCCCTGAACTGTTCCGATGCGATTGCGCATTGATACATGCGCCTCGTCGCTTCTCGGCCTCACTTCGTGACGTGATTGTTCCCCTCCACTATTACCAATCATTGGTTCGACCAATCACAATTTACCAACCCGTACACATGATATTGGTGGGGATACCGTAGAAAAGTAGTGCGGCTAGCAGGAACGTATTTATTAAAGGTGCTCATCAGAGGACGGTCACCTTAAAGTGTCTCTGAACTGTTGAAGCAATGTAGTACTTGTCATGCCAAACTTCGTGCAAAAGAGTTTATTCTTCCCGCGGTTCGTTTAGATATCATACGATTATGTATTGATTACTTTTTTCTTGTAAAGACTATAGAATTACACATTACACGTTATACATAATATTGTAAATTATTATATAAACACATGCTAATGTTTATTATTATTAAAATAGATTGTAAAAATATGTTTTATATATATATATATATATATCAAATCAGATCTTTCGTATTAAACTGTAAAGTAATAATAAATTTTTCTTTTTTAATTTTTAGTTAATTAAATGTAAATAATGAATGTACTGTAACAAACTATTGCATAAATTTGAAAGTTTCAAGATTAGAATTTATAATAAGAGATAAATGAATATTTCAATATAGTTATTGTAATTTCCAAGATAAATTAAATAAAATAACATGTCATTAAAATATATTCAATAATAAAAAACATAATATTAATTTAAAAGAAATAAGAATGATCACGAGGTCATCGGCATCTATATTTTAAATTACTTTGAACTTTATAAAAATAACTCAATCATTATTATAACAATAAAAACAATATAATATTAAAAGTAATATTATATATAAATAACTACATGTAATTTTTTTTTAAAAATTCATATATTTTAAAAACAAATATATTTTATGATTGGAATTATATAAAAAATTATGAAAATTATTAATATAAGGGTTCCTAAATCTACATTTTGTTTTTAGTATAGATACGTACCTATGATCTTCAATTGCGCATGCGCATATCTCTATGTATGAAGAGGCTATTCGACTAATCGCATTGGGTGTTTCGACCACGCTTTCCGCTATTCGTTTCCCTGTGTTACTGTGGACATATTTACGTTCTTTTTCGAATTCTTATTATTTTGTGATTACGAAAATCATGTGCTAGCTTTAGAATTTAGTATTTTTGTAATTATATTAATAACATTTTGTTGGATATATAAAATCTCTGCGCATCGATACTTTCGTGAAACGTCAACCTAACCCTCAATAAGTGCAGGAGTCACGAACCTGAAATTCCATTATGATATATAAGGTTTTCCTCCAGGTATCCGTGGTATCCATTTTCCTTTCTCTTTCTTGTTTTAATATGCATAATCATTTTCGTCTCCTATTGCATTATTCTTTGTTAGTTGGTTATGATTCAAATCGAGAACATCTTTATCTATTCAAATTTTTTTTCAAACAGATGTTAGAATTTTATTGATTTATAAATATTAATAAATAAAAGTAAAAAATTATAATATTTGATTTTTATTGTTTTAATGATGTATATTAATTGATTGCTATTTATGTTATTTTAATGATATCTTAATTGGCTCGAATTATAGTAAAAGTTAATTATAAAAATTATTATTAATCTAGGATTTTTAAATAATTTTAACTTGATCTTAAAAATAGTTATAAACTAAAGTATAATAATTTTTATTAATGAAATTAGTATCATTTAAATCGTATAAAATGGTCTTTATAATATACAGTTCAATATAATACTTTTATATTTTATATGTTAATATAGTTTTCATATTATATTATAATTATCGAAAAAAACAAATATCAGATAAAAAGTATATATTACAAATTTTTTTTGAAATTTTGGATACAAAAATATTTAGCTATATTCTGAAGGTTTTAAGTGAAATAGAATATAATCCCCTACTTCTATAATACTTGTCAATGGACGCATGCGCATAAGAGAATATCATGAATAGTCTCGCATCGTATAAATGAAGACAAAAAAAGAGGAAAATATATTCAAAAATGTAGTAAAAATAATTTATTACTGTCATTAATAAATGTCTGTTTATTAGAATTTCTTTTTTTAAACATAATAACGTTTATACATATTTCTTAAGAATTAATTAAACTTAATTAAAAAAAAATAAACTAAATATTTAAAAAAAATGAAAAATAAAACAATGTTATTCTATAACAATCGAAAAAAAAAAATTTAATTCTGCATTTTTTTAGTTTTATATTTTTTGTTTTAATTAGCATGTATTCTACAGAAATTTCAAGTATTTGCAAACAGAATTATTTCTATATTAACTCTCAAATATCTCCCAGTTCTCCAGAGACATCTCATTCAACCCCTACAATTAGGAAGAGTTCAACGGAAATACTTAGAGATACTATTAATAAATGAATCTCAGAATTTTCTTTAATCTATAACTAGATTTACTTTAAGGATAAACGCTTTTAAATATTTAAAAATTTTCATTCATCATATTTAAAAAATTCTCAAGAAGATTTAGAATTTGATAAAATATGAGAAATTCCAGTTTTTCTTTGTAAATTGTTAATTATTAAGTAATTAAATATTTTTGTGTTAAATTGAACACTAATCAGAAAGAATGATTAATGATTCATATCTATGCTTTTTGGAGATGGCAATGAAGAAGAAGAAAATTCATTGGATTATTTAAGAATGATTCAGAAATACATAAAAGATATAGGATGAAAGAAGTTCCTGAAATCTTATTTTGGGGCAATTTGAAAGATGTATTATTATGATTATCATATAAACTAATCAGATATCTCAAATAGAATGTGTCATAAATGCATTATAATCTATATGAATTTCCATTCCTCAATTACTTTGATATAGCATCAAAATATATGATTTATTATATAAAAAGGAATTTTTAAGAAAATGAAAGGATAGGTTACCAATAATGTATAAAAATCTATTCCTTGATATATATAATATATAATATACAATTCTTGATGTATTTAATTTATTTCATTAATTTTTTTACATTGCATCATTATGTTACTTTTTTACAATCATAATAATTTGTTTGTAATTGTAATCATATGCAAAATAATATTATGATTAATAACATTAAATATTTGATTATATGATTAATAATATGAGACACTAATAATATCTTATATTAATAAAAGAATTGTATTTTGTTATATGTAAAACTCTTTCTTTTCTTTTCGTTAATTAATTTGAAATTTTAAATAATTCAAAAAAATGAAATACTTAAATAATAAGAACTACATATATTTGAATTTACACTTAATAAACTTTCAATAATCTACAGATAACAGTTTTGAGCACCTAATGTATAGCTAATGCAACTAAAAAAAAATATTACTACTATCTTTCATTAACGCATATTATATTTTTTATATATTTTGTATAAAACTATTCTATGTTATATTGTTTTATATTTTAATGTATATACATATAATTTTGTTATAATATTATACGTATATTTATTTATTGTGTGTATATGTATAAAATTTTTTTTATTTTTGGAATGCTAATTTAAGAATTTATTTATACAAAAATGTATTCATATGTAAAATTTACATTAATAAACAATAATATGATATTAATATTATTATTATAAAATATCATTAACAATTAATTTAGAAAGGATTTAATTATGCATTCTTTAAAATATTAATTTATTATATCAAAATTAATATAATTCATCACATTGGGTTAGAAAAACCTATAATATTTATAACAATATTTATCAGTCTGTATTGCAATTAATGTGTATAATTTTTAATTATAATGTATTCTCTTATGATTATATATAAATATTAATAATGAATAAATATTTTGAATTATTAATTTTAAAATAATGAACAAAAAAAGTAATCAATTTATAGAAAATTATAATGTAATTATTATGAAATAAGAGTTTAGCTTGTGAAAAATGTCCAATTTCAATGATTTAATTCAATCTTTTTTAAACAATAATGCAACTTTTTTTTGTTATTTATGCACATTTATAAAAAATTATAATATTAATAAAAATATTAAATCTTTAAATGGATATAAATACAAAATAATATTAATATATAATTCTATATAGAAATTCAAAATTCGAAAGAATATATTAATTATATATATTAAATTTGCAATACAAGTATAATATATGATATTATATAAAGT